TTCTGTTCTATTCTGTTCTGTTCTGTTCTGTTCTGTTCTGTTCTATTCTGTTCACAGCAAAATCTCCAGTGTTAAATTAACACTGGAGAGTGTCTATATGGGTCCACACCTCTGAGTGTTAAATACAACACTGTTGAGTGTTAAATTAACACTTTTGACAGTGTTATATGTTTAAAAGTAACCTGGTCAGTTTTGAAGATTAACAAAGACTAACACTGAGCTGTGCTTATTTTCTAACACTGGAAAATAACTCAAAATGTTAGAAATATTCCAGTGTTAGAAAATCAGCACTGCTCAGTGTTAGCCATTGTTAATCTTCAAAACTGACTAGGTTACTTTTAAACATATAACACTGTCAAAAGTGTTAGTTTAACACTGGAGATTTTGCTGTGTTCTATTCTGTTCTATTATATTCTGTCCTGTTCTGTTCTTTTCTACACTTTTACAGCATCTTGTGTAGTTCTAGAAAGACTGAGTGTCATCTTATCTTGTTTGAGTTGTCACAGTCCTACAGATTCAAGGACCTGGCCTTGAAGTTGCTGCATAAAAGCAGCGCTCCGCAGTGGTTGGGAAACCTTGAACAGATATTTCCTGGGATGTTTCAGCTCTGTTGAACCAAGCACCTCTGTCACTGATATGGCTTGGTTTTGGTGTCTGTGTGTGTTCATGGTGGTGGGCCTCACTTTGTTAGCACTGCAGTTCAAGTTCAGGATGTCTGCACACGGTTCTAGGGAGCCGCCACACCTCCCTGCACTACCACTGATTGGCAGCCTGCTGAGCCTGCAGAGTGAATTACAACCACATGTGCTTTTCAAAGAACTGCAGGTAAAATACGGACAAACATATTCGCTGATGATGGGCTCCCACAGCGTGATTGTCGTCAACCATCATGTGCACGCCAAAGAAGTCTTGCTCAAGAAGGGAAAGACGTTTGCAGGAAGACCTAGAACTGTGGGTATAACTCTCTCCTAAATGTCCTGTTCTGTTTGGTTGTTTTTTGGATTGGTTTCCATTCATGTCGTGTTTGTGATGAAGGTAACTACAGATATTCTGACTAAAGATGGGAAGGACATTGCATTTGGAGACTACAGTGCTACGTGGAAGTTCCACAGGAAGATAGTCCACGCAGCCCTGTGCATGTTTGGAGAAGGCTCTGCCTCTATTGAGAAGACCAGTGAGTACAGTTCACTCCTCTAGTTTGGTACCACTCTCTCATGTGAGACTGCGTATGGCAGGCAGGTCAGCAGCAATAAATCACAACAGGCAGACGCACTCATTTAAACGAACACACTCGAGGACTTTTTTTACTCTTCAAAGCATTTAAGCATAAATTTAAGTTAAAGAGAAATATCTAATGCAATGATCAGTCAGCAGGTGGAAAGGACCTGTTTTTACAAAGTGATTGGTCGTTCTACTCTCATTCTACTCTCATTCTACTCTCATTCTACTCTCATTCTACTCTAGTACAATGAAAATAATAAAGAGAAACAATAACGTTTATTTACACAACAAAAGTTTGGCAACAGTAGGAAACTGTGTGTGTGTGTGTGTGTGTGTGTGTGTGTGTGTGTGTGTGTGTGTGTGTGTCTGTTTCTGTGTGTGTGTGTGTGTGTGTGTGTGTGTGAGTGTGTGTGAATGTGTGTGTTGTCGTGTGTGTGTGTGTGTGTGTTTCCGTGTGTGCTTTCGTGTGTGTCTGTGTGTGTGTGCTGTGTGTCTCTGGTGTGTGTGTGTGTGTGTGCTGTGTGTGTGTGTGTGATGTGTTGTGGTGTTGACGTGTGTGTGTGTGTGTGTGTTCGTGTGTGTGTGTGTGTGTGTGTGTGTGTGTCGTGTGTGTCGTTGTGTGTGTGTCTGTGGTGTGTGTGTGTGTGTTGTGTGTGTGTGTGTGTGTGTGTGTGTGTGTGTGTGGTGTGCGTGTCGTGTGTCGCTGTATTCGTGTGTTCTGTGTGTGTGTCTGTGTGTGTGTGTGTGTGTGTGTAGTTGGCCGTGTGTGTGTGTGTGTCCGTGTGTGTGTACAGAGAGATTTTAAATGCTCCAAATGCAGTAACATCTGCTGTAGTGTTTGATAAATGATAAATATGTCAGGTAATGAACTTTGTCTTGCCCAGTTTGTGCAGAGGCCCAGTCTCTGTGCTCCGTGCTGTCAGAGGCAGCAGACGTGGGGCTGGCCCTGGATCTTTCTCCCGAGCTGACTCGCGCCGTCACCAACGTTATCTGCTCTCTCTGCTTCAACTCGTCCTACTGCCGAGGCGACTCAGAGTTTGAGAATATGCTGCAGTACAGCCAGGGCATTGTGGACACTGTGGCCAAAGACAGCCTGGTGGACATTTTCCCCTGGCTGCAGGTAAGCAGCAAGAACTCAGAGCAGAAACAATCAGACCGCAGTGTAAATGTAGGCAATCAACAGAAAGATAAAGGCCGCCTCGTTGCGTTTCCTTAGTGGGATTACTGCCACTCTGGTGTTGCTTAGAATTTATGGTGAAAGAATGTGAAGAGTGTCTGATCCACACACATTTGCAGTGCATGTTTATAATGATGCTAGCACCATCGAGCTCTCGCAGCACATTGTGAGCGATGAGCAAGAAGGTGACAGTTGGACCGTGATGTTTATCAGGCTGTTTTTGTCTTTATCACAGATCTTTCCTAATGCAGACCTACGTCTCCTGAAACACTGTGTTTCCATCAGAGACAAACTTCTACAGAAGAAATTTGATGAACACAAGGTAACCCTTTAACCACGGGGCCATTAGTGTTTGAAATTTAAAGGTAGTGTACAGTACAAACTGCTGTCTTAGTCATGTGTCCCGTACCTTATACCACATACTTGGTTCCTTTCATTTGTACAAATGCATCGGCAACATTTGAGGCAGAAAAACCACAATGTTGTAGTAGAGCTGTGATCCTGTGCAGCTGTGAGATGGTGGACATTATCACACAGAGACATACTTGACTACAGCGGTCACATTAGGTTGCTTTGCTAAATAAATACAAAGCGTTCTGTACGCTGTATCCTGTACGCTGACATGCTGCTCCCTCACAGGTGAATTACAGCGACCACGTGCAGAGAGACCTGATAGACGCTCTGCTAAGAGCCAAGCGCAGTGCGGAGAACAACAACACATCAGAGATAAGTGCAGAGTCCGTGGGCCTGAGTGATGACCACATTCTCATGACAGTGGGAGACATCTTTGGCGCTGGCGTGGAAACCACTACCACTGTGCTCAAATGGGCCATAACGTACCTGATTCATCACCCAGAGGTAAGGCTCGATCAGCAGCAGTGTTTCCACGAGGCACGTGGCGTGGGTTTCAAAGATGTCTGATAAAAACGACCCTTCTCCTCCTCTCTGTCTGTGGTCTAAAACATGTTTAAAACTCTGAATCTAATTAAGTTTAAGCATCTTTTTACAAACTATACCTATGCAACATCATCAACACACACAAAGTCATTAATAAAGTCAGTTGTTGTGAAGCTGCAAGAAAACCACAGCTGAATGAAGCATACAGACTGCAGGTGGCTGCAGCTGCAGATCAGGTTACTCACCTGCCCAGAGTGTGAATGTGAAAGCACACATATGAAAACATGCCAAGTCTCACAACACATAAGTGATGTTAATCTGAACTTGTGTAGTAGCATGCCACGCCCTTTATTCCCGTTAATGTCCAACTTGCAGCAGTCAATGGGAATAATAT